CAAAATTAATGCACTTTAGTTAAAACTGTTTACTCATCATTATTTCCTTAGCATAAGTTCCTAAAATTGAAAGTTGTAGGGTTTACACTGTTTAATTTTTGATATATTGTCTGACCATTCTCTGTTGTTTTTCTTCATCCTGACTCTCTTCTTTGCTCCTACCCATCTTCTTGGTTTGGGATAGGGAATGGATTCTTCTGCTTCAATTTCGGTTGTCTTCCCTTTATCCAACTTTCAGCAGACTTAGGCTGTCTAGTTGCCTTTTCCTGTCTGACTTCGTAAAATTTATCTTGTTGTCTGTATGATCTATGTGGATTTGCTTTCCTTTCTTCATTAGGCTGCAGCTAAAACACTTTGGAGTTTTAGAAACTTTGTGAGCTCCTCCATTTTATTAAGCTACCTTGATCTTTCTATGTATGTTCCTTTTGCATGTATCTGCGCACACTATAGTGCATTCAGAGATGTACTTTCTAGTCTTAATAAGCTTCCTGATTGTAAGGACTTTGCTTTCTTTTTTTCCCCTCTGCTCTGGAATGTAGGCTGCAGGGAGCCATTGAGACTAAAACTTACCTTGCCATGCTGCTAGTTCCTGGCAGGAATCCCAGTAGGTTAATGTAGAACAGCCCCATTCTGGGATTTGTTACAGAAGCTGCATGAAGCTTTGGCCCCTTGTCAGAGAGCTTGGGCAGATACTCTGTGGCTGCTCATTCCCATCCCTTTCTTTTCCTTGGAAAAAGCGAAAAGGTTCTGTCCTTCATGTGGTGCTTTGTCATTCCTCTGTAAGAGTGAGGTTGGGGGTAAACTCCTGGTTTCCTGGGCCCTCTAGAGACCCAAATGTTACCAACTTTTTCATTTCCCTTTTTCATTAAGAATAGATGAAACTACACCATATGAAACTAAACAAACATCAGAATAGTGTATTACTATTAACTGTTACTTGTTCAGCACCAAATCTGTGCTGAGCCCTGTGCTAGGCACTTTGTTTTATTAGATCTCTTAGCAACCCTAGAGGCAAATATTCTAGTTTTATAGATAAGAAACAGGATTTGAAAAGTTTAACTGACTTGCCTAAGGTCGCACAGCTAATAGATAACAAATGTGAAATTCAAATCTAGATTTCTCCCAATCCCAAAACTGGAGAGGTTGGACTTAACACTTTCTTGGACATGAATAGTTGAAACCTTATCTCCACACATTTTCTGGATGGCAGAAATGGAGCTCTGTTTTAAGACAGGCCAAAAAAAAAAAAAAAACAAAACACCACACACACAAACAAAAAAAAAAGACAAAGGAATGGCCTAACACAGTGGACTACAATAAGCTTTAGCCAGCCCTCAGAATTCATAGGAGAAACTTGGATTTTTCCACATTGCAGCTCAGGTTACTCTTGTATCTTACCAAATTCATTCCTCTTAGCATACAGAGCAGATTCTCTCTACATCAGTGTTTCTCAAGCTTCAGTGTACCTGGAGATCTTGGGAAACTCCAGATTCTGATTTAACAGATCTAGGGTGGGGCCTGGGATTCTTGGGTTCTAACAAGTTCCCCAGTGCTCCTTTGAATAGCAAGGGTCTAGATGTCTCCCAATCCCAAAACTGGAGAGGTTGGACTTGTTACCAACTTTTTCATTTCCCTTTTTCATTAAGAATAGATGAAACCTACACCATATGAAACTAAACAAACATCAGAATAGTGTATTACTATTAACTGTTACTTGTTCTTTGTTAAACCTGGGCAGTCATCAGATTAACCTGGAGATCCTTGGGAGGAAAAGTCAGTTTTACAGGCCCCCAAGTCAGAAATTTCTAATTGGAGGAGTTTCAGGGTAGGGCCTAGGAATTGTTTTTGTTTTATAGTTTTTCTGAGAAAGAAAATTCCCCCAAGTTATTGTGATAATCAGTTTGGGAATCATCAGTCTAGAAGGTAACATGTTATGGATGTATTGTCCCACAAAATAACAAAGGTATAAGTGGGCAGTTAATTTTCCTTCATTAAACATTTGAGGGGCTGTGTTGTCTAGAGATCATTTGCTCTAAAAGAGTAAGAAACCCATTCATGTTTATTGGAAGGGATAGTTCGCAAACCCCAAAAGCAGGAAGTATCTCTGGATCTCAGAATGAAACAGAACTAGGACTTGGAAAACCATTAGAAGCTAAGGATGTTCATGTTACCTCTCTTCTGTTTCCTTCTCTCTGGGGACTGGCTTTGGTAGAAATTAGCCATCCAGACAGTTTGGTCTAGTGCCACCAAGCCAGTTTCACATTCCTGAGAGAATTTGATCAGCCCAGTATAGCCTCTGGACTGGTCCTCCCTGAGCCAGGAGGCCACCTCTGGATCTCTGATCTGGAGATCTGGCTTACATCAAGCAGACACCTACATGTGGCGTCCCCCTAACATTGTTGGGCGGCCTCCCTGAAAGGTGTCTTCTACAAGCACTTATTACGTAGTTTTGCATTGTTGAGGCAGGATTATAGAAGCAAATAAGATAAATCCCCTGCTCTTTGAATTGGGAGGACGTTATTAGCTTACTGGGGGAGAGAGACAAAGATTTTAAAGCAGTGTGATACAGTCTAAGTGTTGTAGAAGAGAGCTATCTGGAAAACCTATAAGAGAAAAACTTAACCAGCCTGGATATTTAGGAGATATTCAGAGAAGACATGTCAGAACTGAATCATGAACGGTAAGTACAAGCTGGCCGTTGTAAGTACAAGTAAGTACTTGTAAGTACAACGGTACAACGGTAAGTACAAGCTGGCCGGGAAAGAAGGGAAAAGCATTTCTGGCATTGTGAATAGCATGAGCATGAAACGAAATAATTACATTTCATTGAAAATTTGTGTGTGAATAATAGTTGTTAAGCTGTTATTTCTAGAGCATAGGTCCACGGCAGGATGTAAAGCTAGAGAGAGAGAGAGATTGGGGCCAGATTGAGGAATCTTTTTTTTTTTTTAAGATTTTATTTATTTATTTGAGAGCGAGACAGAGCACAGAGGCAGAGGGAGAAGCAGGCTTCCCGTGGAGCAGGGAGCCTGATGCAGGGCTTGATCCCAGGGCCCTGGGATCATGACCTGAGCCGAAAGCAGACATTTAACCGACTGAGCCACCCAGGCGTCCCCAGATTGAGGAATCTTGATGCCAGGATAAGGAGTTTAGATTTAGGTAAAGAGGAACCAGTGGACTTTTTTAAAGATTTATTTATTTATTGGGGCGCCTGGGTGACTCATTCAGTTAGGCATCTGACTCTTGGTTTCAGCTCAAGTGGTGATCTTATGGGTTGTGGGATCGAGCCCCTTGTCAGTCTCCTTGTTCAGTGGGGTGTCTGCTTGAAAGATTCTCTCCCTCTGCCCTTCCCCCTGCTCATTCTCTCTCTCTCTCTCTCAAATTAAAGATTTATTTTAGAGAGAGAACATGTGCATGCGAGCGCATGAAGGCAGGGGGAGTGGGGGAGAGAGAATCCCCAAGCCAACTCCCCACTGAGCGCAGAGCCTGATGCAGAGCCCAACCCCACGACTCTGAGCCCATGACCTGAGCAGAAATAAGAGCTCAACCAACTGAGCCACCCATACACCCCTATGGATATATTTTAAGTATTTTTATTTATTTTTGAGAGAGAGAGCGCATGCACGCAAGAGCCTGGGGCAGGGGCAGAGAGAAGCAGGCTCTCCTCTGAGCAGGGGGCCCGATGCAGGACTCCATCCCAGGACCCTGGGATCATGACCTGAACTGAAGGCAGATGCTTTACTGACTCAGCCACACAGGTATCCCACCTATGGATATTTTTAACTGACATTGGGAGGATTGCCATTTTTATGAAGATGACTAATACAGTATAGAGAATAGTTTTGGTGGTAGCCTTGCCTGAAGGCGCAAAGACCAGTTGCAATTGTCCAGAGAGGTGATGAGAAAGAGGATGAGAGGAAGGAGCCAACTGAAAGAATAGTTTCTTCTTTCATAGATCTCTTTCCTGTGCAAGCAGTAGGTTACTTTATATAAAGATTTGACATGATTTGGCTTCATTGCAAGAATTGCTGAGAGGATTTTAAGCTAACTTCTAGACTAAGGTATATGAGGATACAGATTGTTTCTCTCTTGTTCATGGTCACATTGTTAGCACCTAGAACAGTACTTGGTATTTTAGTTGGTGCTGAATGAATGAGAGAGTGAATCATTTAATCCCATAAAGAGTTTAATAAAGACTCAGAAATGTTCTTTCTCTGAGTCTGATCTTTTCAATAAAATGTTTCTCTGAGTTAAATCTTGCAGAGTGGAAAGGGGTTAGGTTGGAAAAGAGGTGGAGAAGAGCATTTCAGGCAGAAGCAGCAACATGACAAAGACATGGAGGCATAGAAGAGAATGGTGTGTGTGCGACAGATATCTCTTATCTTGTCATGTCTCCAGTCACTCCAGCAGACCTAATTTTTTTTTTTTTTTAAAGATTTTATTTATTTATTTGAGACAGAATGAGAGACGGAGAACATGAGAGGGAGGAGGGTCAGAGGGAGAAGCAGACTCCCCGCCAAGCAGAGAGCCTGATGCGGGACTCGATCCCAGGACTCCAGGATCATGACCTGAGCCGAAGGCAGTCGCTTAACCGACTGAGCCACCCAGGCGCCCGGGAATTGTTTTGTTTATAAGTTTCTGTGCATGGGTAGATGAGAATTAGATACATAAAATACGTCCAAACTGGCAGAAAACCTTTAGTCAGGTTCTTTAGGTCCATAGTCTAATGCTCGTCCTCTTTGAAGCTGTCTTTAAATCCCAGGCAGAATTTGCTTGCTGATCTGTGTTCATGTAATGTATTATGCCTGTCTCTGTTGTATTTTCTTATTTTCATATTTCATTTGACTAATAGCCCTGACTATGCCTTTAATATTTCCCAGGGTCTAACATGTAGTAGACATTAATTAAAGTTTGATGGATAATTGAGTGAATGGGTGTTTATACCCAGCGTTAGCCACATGAAAGAGAAACTGTCAGCTTCTGTGTCCATTTTCTTGTAGCTCTTTGTGGTGGACGTGCAGACAAGCCAGATCACCAAGATTCCCATTCTGAAGGACCGGGAGCCTGGAGGTGTGACCCAGCAGGGCTGTGGCATCCATGCCATCGAGCTGAATCCCTCTAGAACTCTGTTAGCCACTGGAGGAGACAACCCCAACAGTCTTGCCATCTACCGGCTACCTACACTAGATCCTGTGTGTGTGGGTGATGTAAGTTTTCCCAGTAACTGTAGTTAGAGGTAGCTTTGTTTTTTAGCAGAGCATGGTAGGTAACTTGGACCCTCCTCCCACATGCCCCCTGGGAAGGAATAGTTTCCTCTAGATTTCTGCTGACTACAAGGGTATGGGGGTGAGGTGTGAGGTTAGAAATATCAGAATGGAGACTGAACTCCCCCCATAGGGAGGTATATTGACAGAGAGCGCGTGTGTTTGATAAAGCGGTGAGTGGCATACTTTGGGGGCCAGCAGCAGTGGGTTGGTGTTTTAATCCAGTGTCCATATATCTCCCACTGCCCATAGTCAGAGAGCAAAGTTTATTAAATCATTCAACTATTTATTGAGCTTTTTATGTCCAGGAATTGTTTTAGACACTGGGGCATGCAGTGAATAAAACAGATAAAGCTCCCCACCTCTTGAAGCCTGCATTCTAGTGGAGGGAGACATATAAACCAGTACATAGATCAATAAATATTTACCAGCAGTATGTCAGAGTGTGATAAGTGCCATGGAGAAGAGTAAAGGCAGATTAAAGGGATAGAGAGAGTGGTGGAGAATGCTATTTCAGAAAATGGTCAGGGAAGTCCTCATTGATAAGAATGACATTTGAGTAGGGAGACAGAAGAAGTGAGAGTGAGTGCAAGTCATGTTGATGTCCGGAGGAAAAGAGTTCCAGACAGGAGGAACAGTGAAGAGGTATGGTATAGCTGTTGTACCAGGAAGCACGGAGGAGAGTGGTAGGATGAGGTTAGAGGGATAGAGGTGGGTGATTGTATGTAGGAGCCCAAAATAAGACATCCAGATGTAGAAGGCCAGAGCTCTGTGTCTACCAGACATGTTCATTGCCCGTAGGAATGCCAGTTTCATTCCAGCTTTGAGCTCCTCAAGATAGAAGTTAAAAATTGTGGGATCCTGCCCTATGGGTTAAGATCATCAGAGATCAGAATTATAATTTTCAGTCAGACTGTATGCTTTTCAGGAGTGTGAGTTGTAATCCTTTTTTACTAATTTTTCCCCCCCCTCTCTCTCTACCGTTCACTCCTCTCCAAGGATGGACACAAGGACTGGATCTTTTCCATTGCATGGATCAGTGATACTATGGCGGTGTCTGGTAAAATTGACCTTTTGTATGGAGTTTTGATGTGGCAGGGAGGGAGGGAGGCTAGAAGTTGAAAGGTATAGTATTGTGATTGGAAATAGCCCAGTAAACAGACCATTGGCCAGGAAATCTTATTACCAATATTGGCTCTTTCTCTTACTTACTGTGTGTCCTTGGGTAAGTCATTTCCCTTGTATATTCCTGATCTGGAAAGAGGAGTTACCAGCATTCTTCATTTATTACTCGTACTCTGCCTTGTTCCCAAAAGGATGTGTGACAGCATGTTAGCCACAACATTTTTGTGGGGCTTCATTGTGACAGTGGTTGTGAAAGTGTTTTGACATAGTTGATATAAAGTATTAGGAGTAGTTATTTTCTGTACAACTATATAGTGTGTTTCTTGTTGATGAAAGCTGTACAGGATTGGGGGAATTTCTTTCCCAGTGGTAGACATCAGAAAAAAATATATGGAAATGAGTGTAGAGAAGGTAATCTAGAGATACACAAATGCTTTCTGGATACCCACAGCAGCCTAGAAAGTAGGCTCAGAGTGCTAACCAGTTTTGCTCAGGACCCATATGTAAAATTACTATCCCCCAGTTCTAGATTCCCAAATAAAAATAATCATAATAGTAGCTAAATTAAGTGCCTCACATATGTTATTTCATATAATCTTCAGAACAGTACTAAAAGGTTTGCATTATTAGCCTCATTTCACAAATGAGAAAATTTAAATTCTGAGAGGTTATAATTACCTGCCAGAGGCCACACAAATAGTGACAGGTGGAATCAGGATCTGAATCCAGATCTGATTTCAAAGCCCATACTTAGTACTGCTACAACAGGGGCACCTGACTGGCTCCGTCGGAAAAGCATGTGACTCTTGAACTTGGGGCCATGAGTTCAAGCCCCACACTGGGTGTAGAGATTACTTAAACAAATGAAACTTAAAAACAAACAAACATCTACTCCAGAAGCCAATATTGCACTGTATGTTAATTAACATTTTAAATAAAAAAACAAACAAGAACTGCTACTAACAAAGCTAAGAGAACATAAATATTTCTTCTTTCAGTTCTTTTCCAAGAACTTTCCCCCTTCTTATGTTCCCTCTCTGTCAAATAAATAAAATCTTAAAAAATAAAAATAAAAATAAAAAAGATTTTATTTATTTGATAGAGAGCACAAGAGCAGGGTGAGGGCAGAGGGAGAAGCAGACTCCTCGCTGAGCAGGGAGCCCGATGTGGGGCTCGACCCCAGGACTTCAGGATCATGACCCGAGTCGAAGGCAGACGCTTAAATGACTAAGCCACCCAAGTGCCCCCATGTCACCTTTATAATAGGGATTAGTGCCCAGAGTCCTGGGATCGAGTCCCACGTTAGGCTCCTTGCTCAGTATGACAGTAACCTGTATTAAATGTGGTTGTTGGGAGCCAGGACTTGGCTTTGCTTTGGGAGCCTCCCATCCTTCAGATAACCTGCCAACATCTATGTTTTCAGGCTGATAACTCCCAAGTCTACATTTTCTCAACAGTGTAGCAGGTTTTAAGAACATTGGCTCTGATATTAGAGGTCGAATTTGAATCCTGGTCCTACCACTTAGTAGCTCTGTGGTCTTGGGCAAGACCACTTAAGCTTTTTGAGATTTGGTTTTCCTCATCTGTAACATGGATACTTCAGAGGGTCATTGAGAAGATTAGAGGAAATACAGCATAGTGGCTGCTGTTTTGAAAATGCTTAGGGGCGCCTGGGTGGCTCAGTCAGTTAAGTGTCTCTTGATTTCAGCCCAGGTCATGATCTCAGGGTTGTGAGATTGAGCCTCACGTAGGGCTCTGTGCTGGGCGTGGCTTGTGCTTAAGATTTTCTCTCTCCCCCTCCCTCTGCCCTCTTGCCCTCTCTCTCTAAAAAAAAAAAGAACAACAAAAAAGAAAATGCTCAATACTTGTTAACCGATGTTAATATTTAGACTTGATGATGAGTATTAACCCCTGAACATTCTACCTCAGACTCAGCATATTCATACTCATCATCTTTCTTCCAAGATCCCCTCTCCCCCATTGGCATACATTTGTGACTGCTTTTACCTTCCACACAGGTACACGGCCAGAAAACTAAGACTCCTCTTAGGATCTTGTCTCCTTTGATTACCAAGCCACATTGATACTGTTTTCTTTTTTTTTTTTTTTTTTTTTTTGGTACTGTTTTCTGAAATATCTCTTATAAACATTATGTCACTTATACTTCAATAAGTAGGAAAAACATAACAAAAAAAACTTCTTAGATACAATTTCTTCTCTGTCTTCTCTGCTAGCATGCTCATCATCTATATCTTGAATTACCCCTAATATCCTTCCATATTTTTTCTCTGCTTCCATTCTTGTCTCCTCCAATCCAGTCTTCATGATGCTGCCAAACTAGTTCTTTAAATAATTTTTTCTGGGACACCTGGGTGGCTCAGTTGGTTAGGCATCTGCCTTTGGCTCAGGTCATGATCTCAGCGTCCTGGGATCAAGTCCCACATCAGGCTCTCTGCAGGGAGCCTGCTTCTCATTCTGCCTTCCACTCCCCCTGCTTGTGCGCTCATGCATGCACACCTCTCTCTCTTTCTCTGGCAAATAGGTGGATAAAATATTTGAAAAATAATAATAATATTTAAAAAATAATTTTTCCTTATTATAAACGTAATATGTGTTTATCATAAATTTTTTATACATATATTTTAAGATTTATTTATTTGACAGAAAGCACAAGCAGGGGGAGTAGCAGAGGGAGAGGGAGAAGCAGGCTCTGTGCTGAGCAGGGAGCCCAACGCAGGACTTGATCCCAAGACCCTGAGATCATGACCTGAGTGGAAGGCAGACGCTTAATCAACTGAGCCACCCAAGCGCCCCCATAAGAAATTATTTTTTTTTTTAAGATTTTTTATTTGGGCGCCTGGGTGGCTCAGTTGGTTAAGCGACTGCCTTCGGCTCAGATCATGATCCCGGAGTCCCGGGATGGAGTCCCGCATCGGGCTCCCTGCTTCTCCCTCTGACCCTCCCCCCTCTCATGTGCTCTCTGTCTCTCTCATTCTCTCTGTCTCAAATAAATAAATAAAAAATCTTTAAAAAAAAAAAAAAAAGATTTTTTATTTATTTATTTGAGACAGAGAGAATGAGAGAGACAGAGAGCACATGAGAGGGGGGAGGGTCAGAGGGAGAAGCAGGCTCCCTGCCGAGCAGGGAGCCCGATGCGGGACTCCATCCCGGGACTCCGGGATCATGATCTGAGCCGAAGGCAGTCGCTTAACCAACTGAGCCACCCAGGCGCCCCCCCATAAGAAATTTTTTTAATACAGAAAAACAAAAAAGGCAATAAGAATTATCTTCAATATCTCTACCCAGGGATAACCACTGTTAATATTTTGAAATATATCTTGCCAATCATTTTTCAGTACATATTTTTTTAGTTGGTTAAAATGGGATCATACAGAGGGATGAATATATAAATGTGCCAAGTATAATAAAATGTTGATTGTAGGATATAGATGTAATTGCACAATTCATTGTAAAATTCTTTCAGTTGATTTCAGTATGCTTGAATTTTTCATAATAAAACTTGTGTAGTTTTATTTTTTAATTTGCATAATAAACCATGCATAGTTCTCCAGATGTGTCCTTCTCAACCGTTTTCTAGATTTCACTTGTAACAAAACCTCTGCTTTGAATCCCTGCCCATAAGCCTTATGATGCAAACAAATTGGATGATATTTTTCTCGCATTAGATAAATTTTACTACTAAGCATTCAGGAGATTTACAGTGTTGGGAAGGGCACCTTCTAGTCTAAAGGAGAGTTGGCAGATAACTTTACTGGAAAGGAATTTTATTTTTACTTATTTTATCTATCTATCTATTTATTTGTTATTTTTAGGTAGGCTCCACGCCCAGCGTGGAGCCCAGTGCGGGGCTTGAACTCAGGACCCTGAGATCAAGACCTGAGCTGAGATCAGGAGTGGGATGGTTAACCAACTGAGCCACCCAGGTGCCCCTGGAAAGGAATTAAGTGCTTCATTATTGTGTGCTAAGGAAGACTACTTTTTAAGTATTCATTTTATGTAGAACAGTCTTTATTTTTTTAAGTAATCTCTGCATCCAACATGGGCCTTGAACTCAGGACCCCGAGATCAAGAGTGGCATGCTGTACCAACTGACCCAGGTGCCCCATACAGTCATTTCTAACATGGGAATTATGTTCCCTGTGGATCCATGGAAAGCCTTCAAGAGGTTCATGAACCTCACTGAAATTGAATGTACAATGTGGTGTTTTGTGTATTTCTCTAGAGAAAGGGGTCTTTAACATTCCTAGGTCTCTCAGAGGCATATACAGTCAGAAGAGATTAAGCACCACTGATTTAAGGTGGAGGGTCCCAAACCCTACTGCCCAACAGACATCACCTGTGCATGCATGCCCAAGAGACCTAAGCATTTGGCTTGGAAAATTACTGAGCTTTCTCAAACTGTATAGTACTCTCTCTCTCAAAAAATCTCACCAAAGGCTAAAGGTTATATTTTAGGTCCTACATCTTAGTTGAATCATTCCTCTTGTAGCTGTTAATGTATACTGTTCTCTGTTTTGCAGTGGGCCACCTGACCAAGCTTTAGTGCACATGAGGATGATGTACAAAGAGTTAGACTAAGAAAGCACATCTTGGTTTCTTTAGGACTGTCCCATAGAGAGTTGGGTATGTCTGACATCTGTGATCTCCTTGCCCTGTAGGCTCACGTGATGGCTCTATGGGACTCTGGGAGGTGACAGACGATGTGTTGACCAAAAGTGATGCAAGGCACAATGTGTCGCGGGTCCCTGTGTATGCTCACATTACTCACAAGGCCTTAAAGGACATTCCCAAGGAGGACACAAACCCTGACAACTGCAAGGTCCGGGCTCTGGCCTTCAACAACAAGAACAAGGTATGAGCTCGTCAAAGAGGAAGTGTCTTTCTCTTGCTTCAGCTTCTGGACTTACATCTTGGCACTTGGCTTCTCCTTCCAAGTCAGTCCTTGCTAACATAGCTTAGTTCTGAGCCCATGGAGGATTGAAGGCTGAGGGTTGCTGGTAAAAAATTACAACTGAGATTATGGAACCCATCCCTTGGATTGAGCTCTGCAGTATTTTTCTGGAGGGTCCATATTTGTGGGTCAGCTTCTCAGAGTTCACCTAGGGCCACTCTGATTTGACTGTCTCTCATTTGCACATGCCTTTGCAGGTGCTCTATTTTGGGTGTGATTTTCATACATGCCTCTAAAAACTATCGCTTTTTTCTCTTTGGTATTCAGTTTCTTTTCATTCTTCACTGCCTCTTCTCAACCTGCCAGCAGGTCTTACCTAGTCATTGAGTCAGATCTGAAAGAGGGGGTATTAAGTAGAACGTTGGGATGGGGACTCAGAGCCAAAGGAGGAGAAAAGATCCCAAAATCTGAATCAGGCTACATTTTGAAGGGTAGTTCCCTTAATCTCCTATCTCCTGGTCATAATTATGGCCTTGAGATAGATTTAGATCCTCCACTCATAGAAGCTCTCATACTGCCATTTATGAAACTGTCCTTCATGTGTGTGCTCTGCTGGAACTATCCAACAGGATGTCATGGGAATGATTGCATAGTAAGAGCTTTTGGAATCATGGGTGTTTACATTACTGCTAGAACCCGGCTTCCTTCTTGAGTTCTCCCAAAAAGCAACCTTGATTTAATATGCTGTCCAGCTGCATTCCATAGAATGAGATGATGAGCTGACAATCCCTGGCCCCCAGGGGATAAGAATGAATGAAGAATGGGAGGACCCCAACCTTCAAGATCTTTCCTTGCATACTACTGTTTATTAGTTGCTACAGATTGAAATATAACCTGTTTTTCATTGCTCTTGTAGGAACTGGGAGCAGTATCTCTGGATGGTTATTTTCATCTCTGGAAGGCTGAAAATACACTGGCTAAGGTGTGATGAACATGACTTAGTGGTTTTACCTAAAAATTCACCTTTTGGTTAAAGTCCTTTATTCTCTCTGAGCCTTTGCATCCTTGTCTAAAGCACCAGTTTTCCAAAGGTCTGGGCATGTTAATGCACAGTGCATGGAATTCTGAGTCTGACAGGCCTCTCTTAAAAGTCATTTAAAGAGATCGGAGGGGGAGAATCTTTAACATTGCAAGGACTTGCTGAGAGACTCCTTCAGCTTGCCGTCCTCCAGTCCACAAGGCATTTAAGTATTTGCTTATGGATTATTGACCATTTGGCATGTTGAAAGGGCAGGAAAACCTAGAAGTTAGAAATCACCAGTAACTGAAAACCAATTAAACTAAGATAAACTATCTCTGAAATAATAGGTATTGAGAATATTGATAATCTTTACAAGCAACCTCTGCATAAAGTCAAACCTACCTGTGAGTCCCTCTTCTTGTCCCAAAGGCCTTTGCTGCTTATTGCTTCTGTGATAGACTCTTTCTCAAGAGGAAGCATAGCTCCAGGAATTACTGACCACTTCATGTCAAGCAGCCTTTGAGCTCCACTGACCTTGCTTGGTACCTTACATGCAGTAGGCAGCCACTAAAGATTGGCTGAATGAGAAGGATCCAGGGTTAAGGCTGAGTGTTGTTAGCTGAGGTTGAGCCAGTCCCGTGAGTGGGCTTTTTGTAGTGTACAACTCCTGTACAATTGGGAAGCTAGGCTGAGGGTAGCCAGAAATCAGCCCTTTTATCTGAAGACCAGTGAGGAGGGTGGTAGCAGAGAAGGTCATGGCAGAGAACAGAGTGTGACCTTGGCTTTAGTGCCCAGGGGTTATTCCTGGAATAAGCCGTAGGTCTAGGCCTTTCTGCTTCTGATTATTTAATTCCAGCTTAATCTTTTCCCCTAATCAGCCCTCTTCAAGTACTGAGATCTTAATTGCATATTACAATCACCCTCTCTTTCTCTTATTTACTTAGTGATGGAACAGGACATTATTTTTGTCTTTTTGTCTCTGACTTTGTGTGGCTTATCTATGAAGGAAGCCCACAGAATTGGGCATCTAACTAGGAACACTGCCCTGTAGTATGCTCTCTGGTATTGCCATGGGTGCATCACTCTTTTCTCTGTTTCAGCTCCTCTCCACCAAACTACCGTATTGCCGTGAGAATGTGTGCCTGGCCTATGGTAGTGAATGGTCAGTATATGCAGTGGGCTCCCAAGCTCATGTCTCCTTCTTGGATCCACGGCAGCCATCATACAACGTCAAGTCTGTTTGCTCCAGGGAGCGAGGCAGTGGTAAGAGTCCTGGTATGGCCCCTATTCAACAGGAAGATGTTACAGAAGATGAGACCTTCCACCTTCAACAACCTTAAAGATTTAAGGGTTAAAATTGTTCAGAGCGGGGCGCCTGGGTGGCTCAGTCATTAAGCGTCTGCCTTTGGCTCAGGTCATGATCCCGGGGTCCTGGGATGGAGCCCCACATCGGCTCCCTGCTTGACGGGAGGCCTGCTTCTCCCTCTCCCTCTCCCACTCCCTCTGCTTGTGTTCCCTCTCTTGCTGTGTCTCTCTCTGTCAAATAAATAAAATCTAAAAAAAAAAAAAAAATTTGTTCAGGGGAGAAATGATGAGGGAGCAGAAGGCTAGCTGAAGACAAAGCATAAGCTGACACCCTGCAACCTCCCCCAACCCCCCACTCCTAGGTGGGACATGAGTGACATTCTTCCAGGGATCTCCCAACTATCTTAATATTAATACCTTGCTAGAGGGGAAAACAGCCTTAACTTGACAATGGCAAGACCTCTGCTATCTTGTAGGTCCGTCCTCTTTAACATATGAAAGTTCTTTTGAAACCTCCCTTTTCCTTCCCCCAACTCCTGAGTCTATAATCAGCCACTCCTCAAGACCCTGGGGCAGCAGCTCTTTCTGCCCGTGGGTCCTGTCCCTGTGCTTTAATAAACCACTATTTTGCACCAAAAAAAAAAAAAAGTCCCACTATGCCCCTGAGGCTTATAGCTGCATTGCAAATAGGTTTTTGGTTTGGTTTTTTTTTTAAGATTTTATTTATTTATTTGACAGAGAGAGAGCGAGAGCAGAAACACAAGCAGGGGGAGTGGGAGAGGGAGAAGCAGGCTTCCCTCCGAGCAGGGAGCCCGATGCGGGACTCGATCCCAGGACCCCGGGATCATGACCTGAGCCGAAGGCAGACGCTTAACGACTGAGCCACCCAGGTGCCCGCAAATAGGTTTTGACTTTCAGTTTCTACATTGGTTTCCAAACAAGTATAGTGATGGTTATGAAACCTGGTGGAGGTGTTTGGTGACTCAGGAAGAGAGCTTAAAAACCTGCAAATGGCAGCAGAGCTTTAAGCCACCACAGGCAAATTTGTGGCCACGTGAAGCCTTTAGTGGAAACCAATAGTCAGGATATTGGTGGTTTTCATATTCTTTCACAGATCTTGACTTTCTGTCCTGTGGTAATTTTTTGCTCGTGCCCTGCCTGAACTGTAAAATTCATATATGCTAAGGGATGATGTGCAGTGAGGAGGAGTTTACTGAGGGCATGAGGAAACTTTTGAGGATGGTGGATATATTCGTTATTTTGATTGTGGTGGTAGTGTCGTGGATATATATATATATATGTTAAAACTTTAAATTGTGTACTTTAAATATGTGCAGTGTATTGTTTGTCAGTTATACCTCAGTAAAGCTGAAGAAAATACTTAGTTTAGTTCTGACCACTGGGTGAATTTAGCTTCAGCCTCCCATCTTTTATAACATATTTTCTCTGAGAACAATCTTTCTTTATCAAGGAATAAAAAGACTTATGTTTGTACTGTACTTTAAGATTTCAAAATATCTTGGGCGCCTGGGTGGCTCAGTTGGTTAAGCGACTGCCTTCGGCTCAGGTCATGATCCTGGAGTCCCGGGATCGAGTCCCGCATCGGGCTCCCTGCTCGGCAGGGAGTCTGCTTCTCCCTCTGACCCTCCTCCCTCTCATGCTCTCTGTCTCTCATTCTCTCTGTCTCAAATAAATAAATACAATCTTAAAAAAAAAAAGATTTCAAAATATCTTTATCTGCCAACTTACTTCATCTTACCCAGAACCCTTTGGGAAGCAGGTAGGAAAAGGTAAGGTTAATGTTAACCCTGCTTTATAGATGAGGAGACTGAGACCCAGAGCAGTTAAATAACGGGCTCAACATCATACAGATTGGTGGGATAACAGCCATAGACTAGAATCTAGATCATTCAGGTTAACAAAGTATATTTCTTTTTTTTTTTTTAAGATTTTATTTATTTATTTGACAGAGACACATGAGAGAGGGAACACAAGCAGGGGGAGTGGGAGAGGGAGAAGCAGGCTTCCCGTGGAGCAGGGAACCCAATGCGGGGCTCGATCCCAGGACCCTGGGATCATGACCTGAGCCGAAGGCAGACGCTTAACGACTGAGCCACCCAGGCACCCCAACAAAGTATATTTTCTTCATCTCACTGTTTCCCTTCTCAGGCAAAAATGTGGCTGTATTATCCTGGAAGTCCTAAAAGGCACAATATGGTTTACAATTTAGCCTCTCTCTTCCAAGTAGTGTTTATTTTCATGCAGATACTGCAAAAGTGGCTTTTGTTTGGGGTTTGTTTTCAATTATAGTTAAGACACTCATGGTGCAGAACAGAGAGAATAATGTGTGCAGTGAGAGTTGTAAGGGGAAGAATAAATAGGCTTGGCTGGAATAACATCTATAATGAAAAAGCTTTAAGAGGGGCGCCTGGCGGGCTCAGTTGGTGGAGCATGCAACTCTTGACCTCTGAGTTCTAGGTTCAAGTACCATATTGGGTGTAGAGATTACTTAAAAATAAAATCTTTAGGGGTATCTGGCTGGCTCAGTCGATGTAGCATGCGATTCTTGTTTTGGGATTGTGAGTTTGAGCCCCATGGTGGGTAGAGAGATTTTTTTTTTTTTTTAAAGACTTTATTTATTTATTTGAGAGAGAGAATGAGAGAGAGAGCATGAGAGGGGTGAGGGTCAGAGGGAGAAGCAGACCCCCTGCCGAGCAGGGAGCCCGATGCGGGACTCGATCCCGGGACTCCAGGATCATGACCTGAGCTGAAGGCAGTCGTTTAACCTACTGAGCCACGCAGGCACCCCAAGATTTTTTAATTTTAATAAGCCACTGGGTGGCTCAGTCGGTTAAGCGACTGCGTTCGGCTCAGGTCATGATCCTGGAGTCCCGGGATCGAGTCCGGCATTGGGCTCCCTGCTCAGCAGGGAGGCTGCTTCTCCCTCTGACCCTCCCTCCCCCCTCTCGTGTGCACGTGCGCTCTCGCTCTCTCTCATTCTCTTTTCAAATAAATAAATAAAATCTTTAAAAAAAATTTAAAAATCTTAAAAAATTAAAAATTAAAGGTTTTTTTTTTAAAGTAGGCTCCATGCCCAACATGGAGCCCAATGCAGGGCCTGAACTTAAAGCCCTGAGATCAGGACCTGAGCTGAGATCAAGAGTCTGATATTTAACCAACTGAGCCACCCAGGCACCCCTAAAATAAAATCTTAAAAAAAAAAAGCTTTATGAGATTTGGTTATTATTACAGGAGTAGCCTAATAAGGAAATACTGATTCCACAGATATTATCAAGCACCTCTTATGTGCCAAGAGACATCTTTGTATCCCATGCACTTATTTGATCCACAGATGCAATACCAGATAAAGACCTCTTGCAGTGCCATGGTAGTGGTTTTAGGTCAGATGGGAAGAAGTCCTTTTTAATACAATGATTTGTAAATATGCAGATTACCCTGTTTCAGTATAGGTTGAAAACATACTGAAGGAGAGTTTAGAGTTATGAAAGATGACTCCATAGTGAGTCTAGGGGAGGAAGGTTCCAGGTACACTTAAGGTCTTAGGCCAAAGGCATCTTAGGAATCACCAGGCCTCAGGTACTTCTCTAGGGCTTATGGAAGGGTTCCTGTTAGTGTATGAATGGGCATTGTGGCACCAGGGTTCTCAGGCTTTCACATGAGCTTAACTTGCCACGTAGACCTGGGAAAGGCTGTCTGGTATTTGGAGGTGCCATGTGAACTCAGTGCCAGAGAAATACAGGTTAGCAGACTGTCAGTGTGTGCTCTCCCTACTCATTGCCGTTTACTTTTCTCTCAGGGATCCGGTCAGTGAGCTTTTATGAGCACATCATCACTGTGGGCACAGGGCAGGGTTCCCTGCTGTTCTATGACATCCGAGCTCAGAGATTCCTGGAAGAGAGGCTCTCAGCTTGTTACGGGTCCAAGCCCAGACTAGCAGGGGAGAATCTTAAATTAACTACTGGCAGAGGCTGGCTGGTGAGTAAGCCCCTGCCTGACATGGTTACTGAATAGTGACAGAAAAATTTTCTTCAGTCTACCCACCTGCTCCCACCCCCACTGATAAATCAGCTACCCACATAATTTTTCAATGGTAAGAGGCACTCCTTAGAGCAGCGAAAGGCACTTTCCCTTGATTTTGCTTCTGTGTCTACATGTCCATGGGAAAACTTGAAGCCCAGTAAGATAAGCTAACTGGGATTCCCCGCAGGTGATAATGGAGCAGGAAGGTGAAGGATCCACCCATTGTGGCTGCCATTGAATTACTAAAAAGTTTGGTTCTGGCCGTCCTGAGACCTTAGGGTGATATAGCGGTTCTTCAGCCTGTTCAGTTCCTCCCTAATGTTCATTTGGAAAAATGAGGCTCCAAGTCCCATGAGCACCAGTCAGAGTCTCCTGACATCAGATTAGACGCAGGATCCTCTCCTCTTAAGACCAGAAGGCATTCCTGTCCCTTTCTTTCCTTTTCTCTGCCCCATGGCCTAGAGGCGCTAACAGAGTCTCGTTTTCTTCCCGTAGAATCATGATGAAACCTGGAGGAATTACTTTTCGGACATTGATTTCTTCCCCAATGCTGTTTACACCCACTGCTATGACTCGTCCGGAACGAAACTCTTTGTGGCAGGAGGACCGCTCCCTTCAGGGCTCCATGGAAACTATGCCGGGCTCTGGAGTTAATGACAACTAACTCACTCCCAAAATGCAGAGATTTACACTAACTTCCATCCTTCGTTTTCTTGTTTCTTTTGATTTCTTCCAACTGTGTGAGGCCCTCATTTTAGTGGGAACACGAGAGTTTGCCTATGGCTTAGGCACTTGACAGGAAGCCCTGTACAGAAATCTGAAGTGTTTTGTTGTTGGTTTTTTTCTTTTGCTTTTGGTAATCCGAATTTTCCTGTCTTTTTTCTTTCTGGCTTCTCAACCAAACATTGTTAATTCTTATTTTTTCTTTAAGTGACACACACTCTCCCCTTTCGCTTCTTTAGGCTGGCATACTCATTCTCACCCTTACTTCATTCTTGAGAGGTAGGGCTCCTTTATAATTATGTGGTTGCTGTCAGACTTTCTGTGAAAGTTTGGGGGCTGTGTGTGTGTGTGTGTGTGTGTGTGTGTGTGTGAGAGAGAGAGAGAGAGAGAGAGAACTTGGGTGCCTGCAAACACCGTGTGTTGCTGAAATTACCTGGAGTAAGAATTACTTGTAATTAAAATATTTATATAAAAAAAACAACTTTATTCACAGAGTCAGCTTTGGGACTAGTCTTTATCTTGTTTTTTAAAAGTCTAACAGCACTGATTATAGGAAGTAAAAACAGAAAGAAAAACAATCACCACCAGGAAAACCCTTTGAATCAGATTGCAGGCTTCCTAGTGACGCTCATCCCAGGACTCCGGAATGATCCGTCCCCTACCCAACTTCCCAACTTTGTGTTCCCCAGGTGAGAATACTTCTGTGTGTCATTTCCACTTTAATTTCCCATCTGCTTAGCCAGTGGCCACTCCCTTAAAATATCAGGGTCTCCATCCGGATGCAGTTCTGGAGGCTGCAGAAGGCTTGGTAGAGCTTGGTATACCGAGAATCCCCATCCCAGCCTTCCTTTTCCTTCTTCAAACAAGACCTGGTCTGGTATCTCAGGGGCCCGGAGCAGGGGGGCCTTAAGTCTGCTAAGATCCACATACTCAGTCCCCTTGGCTTTGGGGAGAAACTTCTCCTCTGCCTTCCTTCTCATCTCCCCAGTGGGTTTTGCTTTGCTTTTCTAAATTGGCTTCAGTCCGGGGGGGGGGGGGGGGATAAGCAGGGGGTTTATCTGTGTGTCGCGAGTGCTTCGTGTGTGGACTGTTCGTTTCCTTCCTAGTGGGGCTGGAGTTGAAGCCGCCTCCCGTTTTGTTGGCTCAGCCCTGGGATGGTGATGGGCGGCCTATAGCCAGCAGCACTGCGCATGTAAAGGCATTGATGTGACTAGTAATTTGTTCCTCCCTCGAACTGTGTTTAGTCTGAGGTTTTGAAACTTGCAGGCAACTGATTGACCATGACGTCCAGTTATTCCTTGCTTTTTACGCATCATGTTGCAGATAGCAGCTGCTCCCACCCCCAGATTCCTCCTCCATTCTAAGCAGATACTCTGCTTCTGTCAACAGCCCATCCCGGGGAAAGGAAAAGTCATATTATTCTTGCACTCTAGTTTCTAAATTGCTCGCCCAGTTATCCCCCTCTGCTCTGGGTCTAAGTGGGGAGATTGAAAAAAAGAGTGCCTTCTCCTTGATAATGGGGGCTGGTGGGGAAGGGAGACAGCAACCCACCCTATCTTGGTGATACACCAGGTGCACACCACAGGTTCTAGAATTCTCATCTTCTAACCTAGAGAAATAGGTGCTATAAACAGGGAATTAAGTAAAATGCTGGATACTATAGATCTTTTAATTGTCTTAATTTTTTTTCTATTATTAAACTACAAGCTGTAGATTTCTTAGTTCTCACAGAACTTCTATCATTTTAAACCAACTTGTATATTAAAAAAAAAAAGATCTTAAGTAGGATGTTTTGTACTGTTGCCAGACCCTCTTCTGTGATGGGTAATATGTTTGATTGTTTGAGATTTTGTTTTTAAAAATGTAGCACTTGACTTTTTGCCAAGTAAAAAAAATAAATAAATATTATTCCAGTTGCAAAGTGGTTTGAGTGAGTATGTATAGTCAAGAGACAGCAGGAGAAAAAGCCCCAAATGACTGGTTGGAGGGTTACCTTGGGGGGCTCGGATTGCTTGGAGCAAAAGAGGAACACAAGAGTTCCCTCACAGTTAAAGACAGGTCAAGTGCAAACACACAAACACTAAAACCTACTTGTTCTTGGTTCCCAGCCCTGGCCCAAGATCAGTTGCTCTGGGGTCCAGTGGAGGACGAATATGCCCGAGCTGAAGATGAGCAGGAAAGCTGCTAGTCCTTGCTCTGAATGACTATGGATTTGAGCAAGGTGACCAGCTCCTCTCACCCAAAAGGGTCGGTGATAGGCTCTGTCTGCTTCAGTGGAGGGTTCACTGAGAATGACTGAAAGTGGCTGCACAGGGCCCAGGGAATAGGATATCTTTTTTTTAAGTTGGCACCATAGCTCCTAGCTGCCCTTTATAAGAGGAGGAAACAGTGACCATAGTGAGTGATGCGCTTCCCAGAGCTTGTTTGGGGCTGTAGCTGAGAAAAAGACTGCTGAATCATACCATCTTCCTCACAGCTGATTCTGGAAGACCCATCAGGGCTGGGCCACAGAGCCAGGCAAGGTGCTATATTTCTCTCTCACATGGTACTTGTTCCTTTCGAGGCAAGCTAGATGTAGCTGCCCTTTGCACCTGCCTTAGAGGCTGACTAGTTCAGAATGACTCATATAGTTATCTACCTGTATGATCAAAGGCCGTAAAACAGGAAGGGGGAAGTGAATTGGTTGAAGCAATTAAGAGGGCTTCCTAGAGGAGAAGAGCCTTTCCCAAAATGAGGTTTTTAGCATACCCAATCCATGGAATAGTGATGGGTGTTTACAGAATGTGCCTTGGTCAAATTATTTCTGGGAAATGTAAATTTAAACGAAGACCTGCTTCTTTACTTCCCAACAATCAGGTTGTGGTTACTAGGGGACTCATGTTCATGGAACATGCTCTGAGAAAGGTGACAGGGGATATGGGGGAGGGGGGCCCCTGGCCTAGGCTGCTGTTTTCCATGGAATCTTGGCCCTGTTCCTGTTTTCCAGCAAAGTATGTATCTCACAGAAAAGCTTTGTGGACTTTATAAGGTCCCTCCCTTTCCTGCCCTCAGTCCCTATTCCCAGGCCATGAAAGAACTTCCTTGTTCTCCCTCAGGCCACATACCTCATTCCAAATGGTCTACTGGCTCCTCCCATCCTCTTTTGGATCCTTTTGCAGAAGGCTTTGGAAACTAATTTGTGCTCTGAGTTCCCTACCCTTGCCACTCCAGGAGTTGATTAATATTAATCTGGCCTTCAGTGTTTGTTTTTGTTTTTTTTTAAGATTTTATTTATTTATTTGAGAGAGAATAAGAGACAGAGCACGCGAGGGAAGAGAGTCAGAGGGAGAAGTAGACTCCCCACTGAGCAGGGAGCCTGATGTGGGACTCGATCTCCGGACTCCAGGATCATGACCTGAGCCGAAGACAGTCGCTTAACCAACTGAGCCACCCAGGCGCCCTGGCCTTCAGTGTTTCTAATAAAGACTCCCAATCTAGGTTTCTCTGATCCAGCTACCACATAGAAAATAAAAGTCAGGGTGTCAAGACTCTTGGCTTAGCATTGGGGTCAATTGTAAGAGTCAGCCTATGACCCAAGTGCTTTTTCATTCCTTCCCAATTGGCTGATGTCTGGGAGTCAACAATGGATGGGGGTTGGGGAGGAATCACTCAGTGTTACTTGCTATTAGCCACATCTCATTTCATGCTAGTGTGCTGAGACGGCTTGAAGCTTTGGAAGGGTAGAGACATAGGCTAAGTCTAGAACCACCAATGAAGACAAGAAAGTTTGGATTTCTTAGCTTGGTTCTTCTGCCCTTAATTCAACTCCTCCAAGGAATAATCCAGAGAAACGTGAGAAATTTGTTTCTATTCTACCACTAGAGAGAGAGGTGTGAACCAAGACACTCCAGAGGGGTTGTGAGCCCTTTTATGATTCAGCTTTCCAAGACTGGGCTGTGAGCTGTCCTCTCAAATTCCTGCTGGGTTGAGCCTAACATCTGAACACTCCTCTTGATTAGTGTGTAATTGCTGAAGTCAGAATTTTTAAAGGATAATAATACTCATTAACTGAGCTCAGAGTCACATGTTTACTGCATTTCTTGTTAAGCACCATTCAGAGCTGTAATTAACATCCCTAGTGCTATGGACAGGAAGAAAACAAATGATCAACTTCTGTCTTAAAGAAAATAAACTTCCCTCACTTGTAGCTACTTTTTTCCTTAACTGGTGACAGCCTAAACAGAGGACTGGAAATAATAATGAGGATCCAGGGTCAAGGCCATTTGCCCATTGCAGATTAACACTGTGCTGGGTACCATGGCCTGAGGTGTGGTGGTAATGTACTGCTTATGTAAGAAACATCCCTCATCTTCACCACCACCACACTCTGCTCCTCTAGGCTCTTTTGCTAAAAACACAATTATTGCCCCAACCACCATGTTTAAGTCTCCCCCATCAGATCTTTTTCCCATATTAGGGGAGAGGAGTAGTCTATCACGAGAGATACTGTTGCTATTCCCTCAAGGGGGATCCATGCCATCCCCCAAGTGCTGACCAATCACTCAGGGTTAAGTGTGGACCAAAAGGGGAGAGTATGGGTTCTTTTCTAGTTCTGCAGCTGCTTGTGGCCATGGCTGAACAAGTCTTTTCCTCTCTTTAGGTTGTTTTTTCATCTTCCACAATGAGGAGAGGAGTTCAGACTAGACATTAGATGATTTCCGAGGTCCTTAACATCCACAACTATTCTAGTGCAGGCAAGTCTAAGAAGAATAGGAAGCAATCCCTCCCCTCAAGCAATTTGTCCTCAAAGTAGGTAAATATTATAGCAGGGCTTGTTAAATTTTGTTATGTGTCTTATTTTTCTAATGGCTTCCAATAAAACATTGAGAATTGTGGGTCAACTAGTGTCTCCCCAAAATTCAAGTCTACCTGGAACCTCAGAACATGACTTTATTTGGAATTAGGGTCTTTGCAGATATAACTACGGTAAGGTTCAAGATGAAATCGTACTGGGTTAGAGTAGGCCCTAACTGCCATGAGAGTGTCTCTTGCGTACACTCTCGCTCTCTATCTCAAATAAATAAATAAAATCTTAAAAAAAAAAAAAAAAAGATAGGAAAGCACATACAGGAACATACAGAGAAGACAATGTGAAGAGAAAAAAGCAGAGATTGGAGTGATGTATCTCTAAGCAAAGGTCTAAAAAATCTATCTCTAAGCAAAAGATCTACAAAATCATTTTTAAAGATTTTATTTATTCGACAGAGAGACACAGCGAGAAAGGGAACACAAGCAGGGCTAGTGGGAGAGGGAGAAGCAGGCTTCCCGCTGAGCCAGGAGCCCGATGCGGGGCTCAATCTCAGGACCCTGGGATCATGACCTGAGCCGAAGGCAGACGCTTAACGACTGAGCCACCCAGGTGCCCCAATAAATAAAACAGCCACCAGAAGCTGGAAGAGGCAAGGAAAAGATTCTCCCCTAGAGACTTGGGAAGGAGCATAGCCATGCTAATGCCTTGATTCTGGACTTCTGGCCTCCCAAAATGTAAAAGAATGGATTTCTGTCATTTTAACACCACCAAATTTGTGGCAATTTGTTTTGACAGCCTTAGCAAACTAATATAGGAATACTCTGAGGAATTTTCAGATACCAATTTTTATAAAACCACATTTGAGATATAAGAAAATTTTTCTTTTTTGATAATACAAAGATGAACGGTACTCACATAATAGAGCTAAGACTTGTTAAAAGAAAAATTAAAGCCCAGAACCACACTTGAATTGATTCTGCCTGGAAGATTCGTTCCTTCTAGGGCCAAGGCAGTAATCCCCAAACTGCTCACCCCTGGTTGCCTTTTCCTATCTGAAACTGTCTGTATTTTTAATTTTTACTCAAGGTCATCTTTTCACGGTGCAGATTATAGAGGCAGGATGCTTTCCCATCCTGAATCTATTGGCCAATAACCCATGCAGCTAATGCACTCCCCCTTGATAGCAGGAAATAATAGATCTAACTAAGGCCTGTCATACCTGAACTTGCTCTACTAGAGGATCTGCCTTGTGCCTGCCTGTGCAGAGCTGGAGTTACCAGCCAGAATGTGAGAAAGATCCCCAAGGATCAAGGATGCACGCATGAGTCAAGGATAGAGAATGCATGAGTCAGGATGGAAGATGCATGAGTCATTAGATAAAGTTAGCATTGACTTCATTGTTTCTAGGCTACTGGTTAATCTAAGTGGTGGCTGTGGTCTTGATTAGGAATGCTTAGCCTGTCAAAATGGATTTATTATGTTGAAAAACTGTTGATTATATCCATTGACCCAGTAGTTTCACTTCTGGGAATTTTAGGAAATGTTCTAGGCAATTTGTTTTGCCAAAGATAGATGTATAAGGATGGTTTGCCATAGCATTAATTACAAAAAACAAAAACACCTGGAAGTATCCTAAGTCTATTGATAAGGAAAAGGTTAAAGGAAAATTTAAAAGAAAAAGGAAGAGAAAATGCAAAGTATTTGCAGGTCATGGGGTGCCTGGGTGACTCAGTTGGTTAAGCCTCCAACTTGTTTTCTTTTTTTTAAGATTTATTTATTTGAGAGAGAGAACACACACACATGCGAGCAGGGGAAGGGGTAGAGTGAGACAGAGAGAATCTCCAGCAGAGACTGCTCACCGAGCAGGGAGCCCGATGCAGGGCTCAATCACACAACCCTAAGATCATGACCTGAGCCAAAATCAAGGGTTGGTTGTTTAATGGACCGAGCCACCAAGGCACCCCAAGCATCCGACTCTTGATCTCAGCTCAGGTCTTTAACTTAGGGTCGTGAGTTAAAACCCCACGTGGGGCTCCACGCTGGGTGTGGAGCCTACTTAAAATATTTGCAGGTCGGGATACCTGGGTAGCTCAGTTGGCTAGGCGTCTGCCTTCAGCTCAGGTC